AGAATAATGGACAATTATTTATTCACTTTCCTTTTATATTATCTTTTATAATTTATATAGTTTTATATTTTATTTTACGGAGCAAAATCTTAAGAATGAGGGTCCTGTTGTATAATGACTTTTCATCATAATATTTCATATTATTGGATTATATATATTTCATATCTTATTGGATAAAGATTAAATCACATAAAGTGAGCAAATAAGTGAGCAAACAAGTGAGCAAACAAGCAAGCAAACAAGCGAACGAGCAAATAAACGAATAATTAAATGAACAAGCAAATAAACAAGCAAATGAATATTAAATCAATAGAATTTAAGTGATATAGTGAACATGAATTCATATAGCCTAGAAATTATATCTTGAATTTATATAAAAGCAACATGTATTATAATTATTAGAATTAGATATGAACAAGTCCTTTTAGATAGTAATTCCCAATTATTACATCTAATTAGTTATCATGTAGTTTTGATTGTTCAAAGAAAAATAGTTTGTACTTTATGTAAAGTAGGTAGTCAAGCGCAAACTCCTCTCTATACTTTTTTGACAAAGTATTCTTGTTTCTTGTATAATAGCTTTATAAGAAGTTATACAGATCTTGAATCAATATATATTATAGTAGATCAAGCAGTATTGTCAGGAGCACTATAAAAGTTATCATCTTTATCCTAGACTTTCTGAATATATTGTGACAAAGTCTATTGAACATTATATTAAATAAAGAAATTATTATTATAATTCATAAATTTATCTTTGAGATTGTATTGCTAATAATACATTGTTCATAAATTTACCTTTGACTTTGTATTGCTAATAATATATTGTTCATATAGTTATCTTTAATTTCGTATTGCTGATAATATAAATATTATAATTTTGACTCTGAGATTTTGAGAACTCTTTTAGCAGTTCAGTTATTACATTAAAAAAACATAACTGTTACCAATCTTTGAGTAATTCTTATAAGTACTTATCGTACTTTAATTTATATTTAGTCTAAAGTCATAAAGTATTATTAAAACTGTAAATTGTCATTAAGATATTTGAGTTTTCTCTTTGAATATCATAAATACCCTTGAGTATTTCAAAGCCCCATTAAAATAGTAACAGTATTGATTAATATTTATTATTAATATCAATTAATTACCAATTAAAAATTAATAATAATTAATTATCATCATCAATTAATAAATATAATTGATGGTCAGTAATCAAAATTAACATTAATTAATATTTATTATTAATATTAATTAATTATTAATCAAAAATTGATAATAATCAATTAATATTATTTGTAATTAATTATTATTATCAGTTAGTGAATATAATTAATGATTAATAATTAAAATTAATACCAATTAATATTTATTATTGATATTAATCAATTTTTTCTAATTGATAATAATTGATTCTCAGTTAATAATTAATTATCAATCTGTTTTAAAATTTTGTAATATTAAAATTAATATTAAATTTGAATATTAAGAATTTATTGATAATTCTAATTATATTACACAATATTATTTGGATAAAAGAAAAAAGAATAAAATGACTAAAGAATAAAATATCATAATATTATTTCTATAATAATACAGATCAGAATTAAGTTTATCTAAAAAAAATTATAATAATACAATTAGAATTAAGTTTATTTAAAAAATTTATGAAGCGTGTATTTTTGCAATAAACTGAAAGATAACCAGATACTCCAACTTGGTCATGTGATATAACAATTATAGGACTAGGTGTTTCACACTATACAATGAAAAAAAATGATTTGCAATACAATTAATTACATTTGTTTATAATTGCATTATTTTATTTTGCTTTTTTAATTATATATAAATACAGTAAAAAACTTTTTCTATAGTCACATTTTCTTATAATTATTCAATTTTGCTTTTCTGAGAATAGTTAAATTTGACTATATTTGTAAATACTTCAAAAAATATTGAAAAATAATTACTTTTGTACATGTTATTATATATAATTATAAAAATATACATATTGTCATTTTTTGCAATGTATATGTTCAAATAACATGTTTTAAGTAATTACTATTATTCAATTCAAATTCATAAGAAAATTCAGGTTTTTGTTAAAGAAGAAAAATAAAATTGTGTGTCTGAATTCAATATGTAATTTGTTATTAGTATTCATTATTAGTGTAAATCATTTATTATAATGTTAAAATATCCAGATCCAGCGCTTTATGGTGGTTATTATTAGCAAATATACGAACAAAATTTCCAAACTAATATATAAACTTGTAAAAAATCCTTAATCTTTACGAGCTATCAACTCAATAATCAGGATTTTCCCAGCCAAAAAAATATGTAATATTATAGAGTAGTTAATGAATTATCAATTTACGTATTTTTAATCATAAGGCGGGATTCTGATAGAATTTAGTAAGTATATATACTATATATATATATATACTGTACATAATTAAAAATATAAACCGATACCGATCGGTAATTACATGTATTCAATCCATACGGTAAATTACCGATAAATCAGTTTTACCGATCGGTAATGATTTTCCGATTCGATTTTTCCGGCCACAACAATTACCCGAAACATTTTGCACTAATTAAAGGTTAGAATTGGAATAAGGTCATATGTATATTAGTGTTTCAAGTTATATTTAGGCATTGTTCATTTTCTTGTGGCAGATTTGTTTTGCCTGGTTGAACAAACTTTGCGCATCCTCATTGGTTTCGAGATCGTCAGAGATCGGAAAAATTACGTGAAGTGGAATCGATCGTGGTAGTTAAATATTTCGGTAAGAACACGGTTCGGTAAATTACCGAATTGACCAAATTTACCCGAACCCTGACCGATCGGTAATTACCAACGGTAATTTCGGTAATTGCGATATTGTTTTAAAATATCATTCGTGAAATTTGAACCATAATATCAAGTTTTAGCACACTAAATGCTAATAATTAAAAATATTTGTTAGGTTCTATTATATGTATATACAAAGTTTCATAAAATTTTGCATGTTGCTTCACGAGATATTATGCGAAACGTAAACAAATCGCTACAACGCTTTTAACGATTTATTTACGTTTTGCATAATATCTTGTGAAGCAACATGCAAAATTTTATGAAACTTTGTATATACGTACATATAATAGAACCTAATAAATATTTTTAATTATTAGCATTTAGTGTGCTAAAACTTGATATTATTATTCAAATTTCACTTAAAATTTGCAAAACAAATGGATAAAGTGAATAAAAGGAACATACTGTATGCGTAGTATGCTTTCATTGGCATCAACGCTTGACAGCTTGATTCTAACCAAGAGAAATTACAGTAAAGTTATTCGTATATAGGAGAACCAAAAATAATAAGTTTCAATGTACTATCCATCTATCTATATATCAGAATTAAACAACAGGGTGGTGGACATTTCCTCTGAATTTGAAATTGCTGTAATTGCTGTCATTTAAAACGACTATATATGTTTAATTAGTTATTTATTCACGGTTTTACTATTTTATAATGCCAGTACCAAATATGCATCAAGAGAAGTATAACTGTGACCATACGTACTTTTCTTAATGCATACTTTTGGTAAAATTCATTTAAAAGAATGTGACTTTAGAGGGAGTAGACAGTACGGGTTTTTCGAAGCACTATTTATATCGATATGTTTGTTTCGCATTTTCAAAATAAAAAATCACTATTAAGAATTCGCTAGAAAAATAAACCTTTAGTCACTTAAAATTGTAATGAAATATTTGAATTTTTTGTATTCACTAAACATTTTCTGAAAGAACAGAAGTCACATCAAATATTTAAGTAGTTTCTACCATTCCAAGCATCGATTACTAGAGCTATATACGTAGTTAGAATGTTTCAACAAAAAACTTTAATAATTCACAAATAAACAATAAATTAAATATAACTCTAATAAAAAATTAAGATGCAAAGACTCTTCGCCGAAAGCAAACTAGCAGCACACAACATCGATACTGTAATCCAATGACACTGAAAACTCTCGCCACAACATCCATCATACATAATCAACACGAGAAATGGGATTGAGAGTTGTGTATTTAGCATTGTTAGGATGTCATACACATCGCTGTGGAGGTTTTTTCGCAGGTGGTCTGATAGATGTTGTAAATCTAGTCCGCCTAATTTTTAATAATTTAAGTTGAAGAATTAAAATAGCACTCTTCACATGGAAACGACATCAAAAATTTAGAATTAAAAGTACCGATCGTTAAAATCGTGAATATGAGCGCCTTTCCTATTTGTAGATTCGATCTGTCTGCCATATTACCTACGAAAATTCGCATTATAATATCTGATGCTATGCACAATAATAAACATACTTTAGAAACCACCTACATTTTATAATTAGCATTAGAGCATTAATCATTTTGTCCATCAATAATCAAGTATACTGTATTATCAAAGAACTAGAATATTCTTACTGATACGCCATATTGTTCAACAATAATTATTGTTCCAATTATCCAGTGAATATTAACTATGATAAAAGAACTCCACAAGAAATATTTTAATGTTTTTTGTGCCGCTATCAAATATCTATTCAGGCGCGACGGTAGAACATATTCTTCTTGTACCTGCTCATCAAATTTGTTGATTACATTTACTAGTGACGTTATCGAATCTGGTCTTTGAGTTATTGTTGTTATTGATAATTCATCTTTTTATTTAATTTAATTTGGATAGATTAGCAGAAATTTAATGAATAATTACGGGTCTTTTGCAAAGTTACCTTTTTGTAATTCGATGTCATTCATGTTTTTTTTTATTTGGAAGAACAAAATGCGTATAGAATAAATTTATTGAAATTTTTATTTATAATACATTCATGCATAATGTATCATTATGCATGAAGATTAGCTAAAATTAGCTAAATTATTATATGTATAATCTTTTCGTCATAAAAGTTGCCGAATTACACATTTGATGATATCGATATGATTTCAAATACCCGTTTTGTATTTACACGGTTGTTTCGATTAACGTAAATATTTCCCAGATTTTTTTAATTTTTTCGGAATCCAATTCTCCGTCATAAATAACTTTTATGCCCGGATTCTCATTCTCGATGCCTTCAATCCGCAATTCCAAGTGCCTATCAAGTCTATTCAAACATTCGGCAATCTGATTTCCGTACCGAAGCAAGATCGCGTATCCCGTCGTCGGATTTATTTGATTTAACGCACCTTTGATTTCATCTTGATCTTTCATGGGAACCGATCGAGGCAATTCAAGATCTGGAGTTAGGGCATCGCGTGGAAATGTTATTAGCATGTTGTGTGGTTCGTCAAGTAATTTTGGAATGAAAGCTGATAGGACGAATTTGTGGATCGTTTTTTGGAGTAAATCGATTACTTCTCTAAGGGTTTTTGCACCCTTTTGTGTTAAATATAATGTAAACTATCAGTCCGATTTTTATTTCAGTTTGTTGAAGGAAAATATTTGACCTTGAGTTCAATAGCTTCTTGGCATTCTTCGAGTGAACCTATAGATGCTTGTACCGTTTCTTCGCTATGATCGAATAGGGGTGAACCTCTCATGATTGATTGGATTTTTCTCAACTTTTTATATGGATTTAAATAAGAATTTAGTCGGTCTCTCTTTTGTAAATATCAAGAACAAAAAACATCTGAGCTAATTTTAAATACTTTTGGAAAGATTGGACGCAACATAAGTGATAGTGGCTTCAAGTAGAAGAAATTGTGATCTTGCTAAGGAAAAAAAAATGGAAAGAGTTTGTCTTTAAATATTAAACTACATTATTATCACTTGTTCAATGACCGATGTTTAAGGTATGTTCCATTGTTGAATTTGTGCATTATTAAGAGTGAGAACAATAACGAGATCATAACGGTAAACCTGACTTGTCTTAATTTATACATGTGCATGTTGTAAAGTATGATTCTTACCGTTATCGTTATCATTATCATTATCATTCTTTTACAATTAAAAATCAAATGAATCCTTAATTTGGACAATGTTTATTTGATATTAGCGTTAGTGAATATTACGAAAACAAATTAATCACGAATAAAGAACCACATTTGTGATTCAATTTAATCGTAGTCTTCTTAATTATAATATACACGCCAGACTCTTTGAACTTTGTTGTATTCGTGGATACTGAGGTTGATATTGCTGTCGAGGTGGCATATCTTGAGGCTGTTGTTGTAGTGGTAGCTTATGCTCACCATTCATCGGTTTGTGGGGTCAGTCAGCTTTACTGGTGGCGTGGCGAAACTGCTAAACAGTAATAATCTGCGGCGGAAATGCCAAAACAACACCCATACAACACAATACAATATTTATTTTCACAAGAAATTTGATTATTTGCCATTTCAATATTCGCGGAATTTAGAAATACAGTCAACTCTATAACGAACTGACGGTTTTGTTATGGTGCATAACATCTAAAGTCATCAAACGTTTGTATTTTACGAAATGGATAAACTTCTTTGCCAAGAAGTAGATACAAAATTTAATCCGTGAATATGCTATTCTATCATATTTCACGGTTTAAAATTTTGTATTTACTTCTTAGTAAAGAAGTTTATCCATTTCGTAAAATACAAACGTTTGATGACTTTAGATGTTATGCACCATAGTAAAAAAAAATTCGTTATATAAAATCACTATGTTTTCTATACAGCCCACTACTTTTTCTATAACGAACTAATAATATAAATTTTAAAAATTTAAGATTCGTTAAATCCAGAGTTCGTTATAGAGAGAGTCGACTGTACTATCAAGTACAATTCTTCCATTAATAAGCAAAATAATTATTATGATAAAAGGATATTTCTTGTGCTGTGTAAATTCTCTTTGTTTCGTGGAAATCCCTAAAAGATTGCAAAAATCGAGTGGCATTCTTATTTGAGCTCGAGATTTTTTAATAAAGGAAGGATTATGTGCAAAGTTTGTATTCTCATTCGTCGAGTGTTCTTGTCGGAGAATCTGATTCTCGATTTAAGATAATCTCGGCCCTAAAGAACCTTTTTTTTAACCTTCAATACCTACATGTATCCTTATCTGCGAAAAACATCATTTGCAGCAACAATGAGTGTGATTCGATCATATTTTAAAAAATTGCATTTTCGTTTTCGGTGTTTTGAAAACAAGTTATTGTGATTACAGACGAGCATTAATGTTATAATTCTTAGCATTGATTCCAGATTGTAATCTCCATTGCAGCTCACCTCTTTCAAAGATGATATTTTGTATTGTTGTTGCGAATTGGTAGCTGCTGACAAAATACGATAGTCGTTCTTGGTAATGTTTTTGAAAGCCCAGGTACCAAAGCAGAGTAACAATTAATTGTCAGGAGATTCATAAATGCAATGCAAAAGGCTCAATCAAATATTAGATAGTGGATGACTTCTGTGGTCAGGTGAGAACTTTGCGTGTACTTCTAGATATGAAATCAATATAAGGTGAGGTATTTTATAGAGTAAAATTTTCAAAGCGCAAAGGCATTGATTCTTTTAATGTGTTGATGAGACGAAGACACTATCTATCAGTAGACTAATTTGACAATTTATAATTTTTTTTATACAGGGTTGAAAGAAAGACAGAAAGAATTAAGACTAGACATGAATTAAAAAAAAAGAATTTGATGAATTTGAATCGATTTATTATGATTTTATACTATTATTATTAAGTGTCGTCCCAGGCGAAGGTGTGATAATATTTGACTTTCATGATAGATGGATACTTGAAGATTCAGCCAGTTGTTGTTGTTTCTTAAAGATTCGTGGATATTCTCTGACCAATTTTCTTTCCGTCCAGATCCAAGCTTGATCACACATGTAGTGTGGTGTGCCATATACTTTTTTATAAGCGGGACACAAACGAAGAATGTTGGCATCGTAAACTAGATTACCTGTCTCGTCTTTCGTTTGCGCCATGTTAACAATTCTCGCCTCGAGTTGTGCCTTCATCTCTTCTCGACGACACACCCTCTCACGCTTTCTCACCTCTTTCATCAGTTTCGCACCTTTTCGCATGTTTTTAACGGTCCATCTATGTCGTCGATTGGGAGGAATAGTATGATATATTCGCTTCTGTTTCTCCACACTAGTCGCCAAATAAAACTTGAGATCGGTATGAGGTTCACGTGTTCTACTGTGCATGTATGGACTACTGTACAAGTATGCTTCGACATACGGTAAACCGGCAACGTAATTGGTATTAGGTGCCTTTAGCAATCTTTTTTCGTAATTTAGGTCGTAATTGGTGACAGTGCTTATGGCGAAACAATCACTACACATACGAGTAGAAAAGGCCCAATAAACTTTCGCAACCTTTTCACCACATGTTTGGCATCCACTCCCAAAAACCAGACTCGCGTACGCGACTTCGTCCAGCCCACGAGGTGATGGTAAGGTAAGGAAAGGAGCGTATTCTTGTCGGGACTCGTACCAGATTTTCTGCGTGGTGACGGATTGTTTGGAGGACAGCCAGGTGTGATAGAGTTTGCAGGTTTGCAAGAGGCTTAAAAGGTCGGTTGGTGAAAGATGTTTACATATCTCAATAAGTATCTCGGGCGCGATTCTGGTCGCGGGACACTCATTTTGAACTCTTCGTTCGATAGGTTGTCGGTTAAGTTTTCGTTTTTTATTCTGTTGTCTCCTTCTGAGGGCCTTTATATAATATACAAATAATTAATATTACTAATACCTGGTTGGGGTTTTACTTGGAGTTTTCCGTACCCTGATATCACTAGATTCCGAGACATTGACACTAAGTCCCGCGACATTAGTCTTGGGCATGGTAAATATGTTTGAAAAAGTTGACATTAAAATCGAAGCAGAATACAATTGTAACAGTCTAAAAAAGACTTTAAACAAATATAAAGTTACGACTAGAGTAAAAAGTGAAAGAGACAGTCTAAAAAAAGACTTTAAACAAATGCAAAGTTACGACTAGAGTAAAAAGTGAAAGAGTACTTTAAGCACAAAAGTTTTGAAAAAATCAGTCGCGTCTTTTTATAAGCGCGAAAATTGATCAAGCCACTCATGTCACGTGACAATGACGTAAATGTTACGTGAACAAGGACCAACCTGACGCGCTTCTCTACCACCAACTAAAGTTGTCACAACGGTACTCTTCAACAGGTTCTCTTGTATAAAATTCGAAGCAAAGGCAGTAGAGACCAATATCAATACGTCCAACTCCGAATTTACCACCGCAACCAAACGCCCTTCTGCAAGCAACTACTGGAAATCTACGCAGCTCATTCTTCCGAGGGCAGTACGCCTCATATTTTCCCCACACGTGTATAATGTTAAACAGTACAATCATACGTGCTCGACTTCAACTTAACCCTCGAACTTTAAAATCTCTAGTTCTAGATAATAAATGTAATAAGACAAGAGTCATGAGCTTTTCTTCCAGTCTTAGCAACAAAAGTAATCACACGGAAAGAACGGCAAATATTTTAAGACAATCGGTATTTGTGAGGTTTACGCCTAGTGCGAAATTCGAGAATTTTTTCTTCCCTTTCATACCCGAATTACATATTTAAGTATTTAATTGAAAATGAAAAGGAAAGAGTAACTGCCGTCATTAGAAAAATATCCCAAGAAACACCAACAGTAAAAAGTTTTGTGTTGGAGCCCAAAAAAGCAACAAAAAATATCGATTTTTTACCTGGCCAATGGCTTGACGTTTTCATCCCCAATGTATCAATCATTGGCGGTTTCTCGATCACGAGCACCCCTCGTCATTTACAATTAACGAATACTTTGGATCTCGCGGTCAAGTATTCCACACATCCGCCTGCTAAATGGTTTCATGAGGTAAACTAATTGAGGTTACGAGGAATGAAAAACGAGATTTTGATGATGATTGCTGCTGTTTTATACAGGAAGCAACCTTGGGAAGCGTAGTAGATATAAGAGTGGGAGGAGAATTTTACTATGATGCTCAGAAAGAAAAGGAGAATGGAACCCGGAGGTCCGTAATTTTACCGTATTATTAAATTTACTTACTGTAAATAGATTAATTAAATCGATATTATTTATATTACTTCAGGCTATTATTTATAGCAGGAGGCGTGGGTATAAATCCACTAATGAGTATGCTAGCGAGTGTCATAGAAGCAAAAGAAATATCATTCCAAAACGAAGAACCAGAAAATAACATTGAAAAGATTCAATTATTATACAGTGCAAGAACACTTGACGAACTGTTATTTTTTGGGAGAATCGAGCAATTAACAAAGAAAAATTGTGGTAGTTTATCATTTGATTGTTTTTATTTCTTGACTCGGGAAGATCCACCGTCATCACAATCGCCTGTAACAATCGCTTCAACCACAATTAACGATACACTTGATAACGATAAGAATAATAATAGAATCAGAAACTCTTCCGAATTCATTTATCGACAGCGAATCAATGAAAAATTCCTGATCGATTTATTAATCGATGATCATGATGACAAAGATAAGAAAGATATCAAGCATTTGAAGTCCTTTTTATGCGGACCAACTCAGATGCAAAAAGATGTTGTTGGGTGGTTGGTGAATGGGGTTGGATTATCGGAGAATCAGGTTGCTTTGGAAAACTGGGAATAATGTAATCAATAAAATTAAATGTTCGCGTGACATCATTTACGTATTTGGTTAAACCGACCCAATATATTTACAGTATTCTGATAATTCGAAATTTTCTCAACGATAAAGATCTAAAAGCATAAAGATCTAAACTTTTGAAAAACATGAGTCGTAGCAACAATGAACCGTGTGCAAATTGCGAAGTCTTAAAACTGCAACTTGAATTAAAAGATAGTGTCATAAAAGCCAAAGACGAGAAAATTTCGTTTCTTTCCGACTCACTCATACAAACTCAGAAAGAGCTTATTGCTGCAAAAGAAGAGGCTTTGAAGGGGTATAGGGAACTTCAGCAAATGAATTCTAGCCTCGGTCTGTACATTATTCATATATGTATAGATATCTATTTGGTTTACTTTGTGCGATAATTCTCATGATTATATCGTTGATTCCAATTACATAGACGCTAATGCCACAAGTTCCAAAAATAATTCTCAAAAACTCAAGATTAGTAATAATAACAATCACAATAGCCTCAATGATCTTTTAAGGACGCCTTCCCCGTTTGAAAGTCAAATCGAAACAGGACTAGTTTTAAATAACATAGGTTCGGAAAAGGATTTAAATTGTAACTATATCATCGATCAACCTATTTTCTCGTTGCTTCTCTTTGTTAATTATTTTCTTGTAGCTGTGGAACCTTGGAATAGTTCTGATACAGATATGGTTAATGGAAGCAATGAAAATTTGTTCAGAGGTAGATTCTCCTTCTTATTCTTGTTATTATTTAATGATCTTAACGATATTAATTATTTCCTAATCTTATGGATAAACAAAGAAAATCGAGCTTATATCGGACACGTAACTGAAGACATCACCAGAGCTAAATTGAGACGCTCACTAGAAGATAAATTTGGACGTATAATTGACTTGGATATGATCATTAGCAAGGTACATTTTACTTGCACGTTATTCCATTAAGTTAACTTAATTTGATATAATTTAATTGATTTGTAGCACTGCGCATTTGTGACATTCGCAACAAAAGAATCATACGAACGAGCAATTGACGAAGGGTTACTTTTCATAGATGGAAATAATTTGGGCATTGAGGAACCAAGAAAACGTACTACTAGTGATGGCTCCAGGAGAAGGAGAAGATAGATCACTTCTTTCTCTTTGTGATAATTTACGACTCCGCATTTCGTTCACCCAGCTGCTTTATTTGTATTTATAATTGAATTACAATAACAATTGTAATAATTGAAGAAATGCCAATCCCTTTCTTATTCTCGACGCTTTTTCTTTGCTTGAGTTTCTCATCCCTCTTCTCTCGAGTTTATTTTTTTTTCTACCCGTTTATCTTTGATCCTCGTTTTCTGCCGAATTTTTTCAAATATCATGTTTTGCTTTTTCTCCGATTCCGCCTACCTGACGCTGGGTTTCCCTATGCCGCTTGCTAAACGACGAGACGTAACGCGCTAACGATTACCGCAACGACGATAACGACGTTTCATTAACAAATACCTGTGTAATGATCTTCTTGCTCCCCTTTTTAATCATTATAAATAAAAATCTTTTTTTAACGCGATCCGAACGTATATTACGATTGAAGTCAATCCTTGAATAAATATTCTTTAGTTACTACAGGCTCAGGAATTATAGCTGATCCGCATCGGATCGTGAATTAATTTATTCCTATCGTTATAAATATGATAATGATAATATGATAAATTTCAACAGTCGCGTCTCTATCAAAATGTCTATTTATAGGAAGCTTGTAAAAGATAGCTCTTCGTCCCCTCTATCAAACCACCCTTTTGATTCGGAAATGTCAGGGATCGAAGATGAAGAAGAGGTTTGCACTCTTAAATACCTTTGACAATTTATAATAATCTGCTTTGAAGCTCACATTTCTTTATCATTGCTAACCTTAGAAATTATTGTTAAAACAAGCTTTAATAATGTCACTGGAGACAAACGTAAAACTTCAAAACCACTTTGAAATTGAGACGCAGCATACTTTCATTTGGCGGTATCGTATCATTTCAGTATATATATATATATATCTTTGCTTTATTATTCACATCACTAAATTATCCTTTCACATTTAGATATGTGATAAAACCCTGCTTATTAATAGCTCCGATTTGCGCTGTTGCTCTAATATTAAAACACGATGTACAAGCAAGATTAAATATATACGCATCAGGTGGTGATGAAGGCGCATAGAATAATAACTAACATAATATTGGTATATTCACGGCGCCATTGCCCAAACTTTGATTACATTGGAAATCATCTAAACACGCCTGATTTAATTCTAATGATTTTTCGTCCGTATTTTTGGGGATTAGAGACGGAAAGGCATGCACAACGATGCACGTTAAAGTATTTAGAGAATCAGTGTTCTGGGAATTTGAGGAGACCAGTATTGGAGAAGGATTGTATCGCTTGGGAGGAATATCCTTTTTGAAGAGTGGACGTAATGTTGAAATGATGAATCAAATTCATGTTCATTATTGTATTATTTCTTTAATCGATGATAATATTCTAATCACACGTGTTCTTATCGGGATGGAAGTGTTCATTCAAGGTTTAGTTTATAGCGTTTATTATCATTATCTTCTTTATTCGCAAAAAACCATTACACTGACGAACCATAAACTTTAGATTCGCAGTATATATGGAAATCATAGGAGAAGGACTCCAACGACTAATTGATCCACTTTCATACACGATAATTATAAAAATGGTAAAAATCTTTGATTGATTGTAATGAGCATTTTAATGGCGTCATTATTTTTTACTGACGGTTATTTTCTGATGATATAGGGAATGATTCTTGCAATTATGGTTGGAATCATTGCATTTATGAGACGTTGCCTGTGTAGTAGTGGTAGGAATTTTACTCGTGCAAAGGTTGACGAGAAGGATAAACGACTCGATAATAATACTGCTCTTCCGGCTTTGGGTTTGGGATTCAATGGTAGCGGGAGCAATAGTGGTGGGATTGGATATTAGGTAGCAATGATGTTAGTGATAAAATCAACCTTAATGTTAAAACATATATATATCTAGATTAAAAAAGAGGGATAAATAATAGCATCTTGTCTTCATTAAAACCAAAGAACCATCTGATTCAAAACCAAATCATCATGTTCTTTATTCTCTACCAGAAAACAATTTTGAAAATTCACGCTTTCAAGTCCCTCCAAGAAATCTCTAATAAGATTTGCACACAATGCATTCATCACATTTGTTTCTCCGAGAATTATAACATTTTCCTTGTTTGAGCAATATTGGTTTGATTTTTGTGCAGAGGAAAATGCAATGACAAAAAAAAGTAAAGTACAACAATACTATAGATATTTTCGTAGAGCGATTAGTAAATGATTTGATTATCATAAAAATTAAAATAAATAATAAAAAAATTACAAATGTGTGCATTTTCTATTCATTCTTTTATTTATTCCTCATCCGAATCAAGAAATCCTGTTGCACCTTCATTTAGTATCGCTAATAAAGAAACAATAAAATGAAAAAAAGTATATTAGAAATCAGTCCAAAATCGAATATTAACAATCACACAGTGGGCATGAAGTAGACATTAGCGCGATTTGAATACAGTGATCTGGGAACAGAAGTCGCTAACTCGTGACTTCATTAAAATTGCAAAGCTGAATCTCCCCCCCCCATTCCGAGACAAAACTTCGGCTAGAACAGGAATTGGGTTTATCCAATAACGAAAATCCGTTCCGCGAAAAAATTTGGCTAATCCAGGATTCGACCTATTCAGACTTCGGCTTCTCCAGGCCAACTGTGTATTATTACTAGTAGCATTCATACTTACCCAACATTTGCATAATCATATTGCTCGGTATAATCATCACGGGACTTCTCGTGTCCGCGCCTACACGAGTCTCGGTAATCTCTTTATTTCGCTTGACAATTTTTTCGCCTTTTGATATATCATATTCTCGATCTGCAGAAGGGTACCAGATTTTGATATCACTGTCGATTCCCGATGTGCATAGTATGGGAAGGTATGGGTGTGGCTGAATACAATTAACCACTTTCTGTAAAGTAAAAATTCATTGAGTTTCACTTGCATAGAAACTGTCGAAATACATCATCGTCATTAACTTTACCCTATCACCGGTCAGTATATTTACTACACGACCAGTTTTCTTATCCCACACAAAAATTCTCCTGTCATCAGAACCACTCATGATGTACTGTGACTGATTCCCAAAAAAGTTGGCTTCTTTAATCTATCAATATTTTATTTGAGACATTAAATATCAAACGCTTAGCATCCAGTTTAATGATAATTAAAATAACGAAACATAAAAAAATACCATTGTTTTCTCATTAAGATGCCCGGTAAATGTCTGAACAATATCCTCGTCGTTTGCTTCTTCAATATTGAGATCTGTTATGTCGTCCTCGTCACTACTACTGTGCATGTTATCATCTTCGTAAGAATCCTCTTCTTCTTCCTCCTCTTCAACATCCTCCTCATATTGATTCTGTTGTGCATTATTTGAATATATATTCATTGGACGCGAAATAGGAATAGCATCTTGCTCAATTTCAAAAACTCTTGAATTGGTGTTATTAGTAGCCGCAATGTCCATTTCTTCTTCAATAATATTTTTTGCATCGTTAGAAATTTCAGTTTCACTATCCTCTACTTGTCCCATAACAAAAGAATCGTCCAGAAGATCGTTGTCATTATCTATTAATTTCTCAACTAAATTTTCTTCCTTTTTTGGAACTTTGATTCCGCCCATTCGAGGTTTCCCAGATCTTTCAATTTTTCCTGCGCCAGGTCTGATTAAATATACTTTATCACGACTATAACTTGCCAGTATGTCACCACCCCCATTCGGATCATATTGGAGACAGGTCATCCGATGATAACTTAATGGGTCAAAACGACGACTCATTTCTCTTCGTTGTGCATTTTTCTGTCTCATACGCGTGGGAATGAACGTGTATACTTGAGCATCACGATGATACACTGAATCTGAAGATGGTGGAGGAATAAATCTTCGATCGTAAACCCGCACAGTATCATCAGAACAAGCTGCCGCTAAATAAACTGTATTATCAGGTCTAATGGCTATCCCAGTAATACTTATTGAATCAGAAGGACGTAACATAAATGGATTACGTCGTCTTCGTGATTGCTGTTCTGACTCGGGCTCACTTTGCGATCGAGCATCCTCGCTAGTTGGTGCGGAGGTGAAAGAGGAGGCGGAAAATAACTTTTTTTTCTCACGTCGTCGTTTAACGTTGAGATCCAGAAATGTGTGACGTGTGCAACCGTCACAATTACATGATGTTCGGATTCTTAGATCATAAAGGTTGATTCTTCCATCGTCTGAACAATCAAAAAATATGTTGGAATCGATTGGATCCGGAAGAACTTGGTATCTGTGCCAACAACAATAAGGAGGAATTGAAGAGTTTTTGTTGCAATAGTGTTGCTATGCTACTATCAAAGAAAAAATATTGATGTTGCTAATGTAAACACGCAAACGTGACTTCATAGATTCATTTATAATGTAATATATAATTGAGTTTGAAAAGAATTGCTCTCCTATCAAAGAACTTCCCTCACAATATGATTAGGTACTTACGTTAAATCACTATGACACCGAAAAGAAGGCGAAGGATTCCAATCGCTCGTTGGAGATTGTGAAATATATTGATCCAGATCGGTGAATTTGACAATTCCATCCGCAGCACAGGATACAATATGACGATCATTGGTATTGGTCATAAAATGTGCAGAGAAAACGTTGGCTTTGTGTCCTGATGGGATTGAATGTATTAAAGCATTCTCTGGGTGTTGGAATGGAGACCATATATTGATCCGGTTGTCATCTATTTCAAAAAATCTTGCAAATTAATTTTATTGGAATTTATATTACTAGCATATATTTAATTTAGCGGATTGGCTGGGGCACATATGGGTGGGAAAACTCTTGTCCTTTTTATAATCGCGTCAAGACACGGATATCATTGAGATAATAATTGTTATTTCAACCTAAAATTTAGGCCTAATAGAACGAGGAATGAAACCACCAGATCATGATAATATGTTCACGACTAGCAACTAACCTGAGCCAGATAATATCAGGTCGCCGGCTTTATTCCAAAACACAGAATTAACACAACCCTGGTGTCCGGTAAGGCTTCGATATTTATCGGTGAACCGTCTAACAAAGTAAGGATCGCCTTTTAAGGCAGTTGTAAATTCCCTTGGTGGTCGTGGTAAAATTTCGCGTGAATCAAGCAAGTGGACTATATGAGATTTCGGAAGCGCCATTTTGTTGAGACCAATACAATGAGCATTTCAAATTTAGTGTGAGAAGCTCTTTTAATTCCCACTTCTTATTCACGTGATATAAATCAATCAAGTGACTGTATGTCAGAAATCATTAAAAATTTCAAAAGTCTAACCTATAACATATTCGCGAGTCTCGTTGGTGTAGTTGGTTATCACGTCTGTCTAACACACAGACGGTCGTCAGTTCGAATCTGACACGAGACATTTTTTTTTGCACCTCGATATAGTCACGAGGTTGGGAGACAAAATTGGATGTGACTATAGGAATTATAACTTACAATAAAAGCGTGTTTATTCTTAAATCGAGGCGAGAATGTAATTTTGTTTTCCCTTGTGAAAGTTTAAAAGAGCGATATTACAAAATTATTTTGTGGCAACCATAAAAATTTATTGATTTACGAGAATTTATTTTTATTTTTGTAGATTATTAGATTAATAAAAAAAATAGAGACTAATAATAATAATAATGAAAATAATGATCTAAATTAAAAATATTGACAACAAAAATCGGCAATCTAATTAATTTCGTTCAAATAAGAGCGGCGAAGAGCAAAGATGAGAAACAGAGGTGAGAAGAGTCTGTTTCTTCTAACAATATTTTTAATCAAATAAATAGATAGTCAATTATTACTAATTTCATCATTACCCTTTCCCAATTTATCAATGAATTAATCATCACCCATCAACCACGCCCTCTTTTTCATTTCCTTTTTTTCCTTTTTCCTCTGTTTCAAAATCTCCAACTCTCGTTTTCCAATCTTTTTACTTTTCTCGCTTCCATTGCCATTGCCACCGCCACCGCCACCACCCTGCTGTTTCAGCCTTTTCACGCCTCTTTCCAATGAAAATTGTTCATAATCAAAGAAATATGACATTTGTCGAACTGCTTTCGAGTCGGCGGAAAATCTTTCAGGATTCAGAGTTGGATCACGTTGAAATCGACCAGTTCGTGAATTGAAGCGCGCTTGCAGTGTGTATTCGGTGCTTGAATTTCCATGTTGCGCAATGAATGCATTATAGTCGGACATGTTTTCCGCTGTTGTTGCTGCTGTGTGGTCCGTCAACGATAATGATGGATCGGTGTAATGATATTGACTTGAGTAATTTGGTAATGTTGTTGATGTCGTTGTCGATGAAGTGGATGTTGTATTAAGTGTGTAAGAAGGTGGAGAAGCAGTCTCGGTAGTAGAAGTGACATCCGATGCCTCCGAAGATGAAAACTTTGAGCCGCCATCCAACTTTGATTTTACTTCATTATCAATTTTATCGAGAAGAGAATCAAGTGGATTTATTAAGGGTTCCTCTATCGTTGTCGATGTGGAGGGGATTGTGCCATTGTGAGTTTCGTATGATGATGCATAGTACGTTTCAGGATAATAACCATAATGAGCATAATATTGATTATAATATTCTTGTTGTTGTTGCTGCTGTTGCTGTTGTTGTTGTTGTTGCTCTTCGGTTATATTCATACTACCATCACTATTGTGATCACCAGTACCATAATTATTATTTATTAAATTTTGATCACTAACGTTAATATTTACAGCATTTTCATTATTATTACCCTCCCCACCACCATTTTCTTCTCCTCCCCCGTCAATCAATTCCGATGACGATGACGAGGGTACATGCCAAGTAGTCTCATTGGTAACGGTATTCCAGTAATAGTACGCTTGCGCGCTCTCATCCCATACTGGTTGCCATTCAGCATACGTATTATTGTCATTATTTATATAATTAAGATAATTATAATCATAATTGTTATTATTATAGTAATAATTGTTATTATTATCAGTGATGTCATTTACCATGTCTATTTTTTTCTCTTTCTCTTTCTCTTCTTTCTCTGCTTCTGAAGAACTATCATCCTCCATGGAAGATGAAATTTGAATTTCTTCTGTTGCCGAGCGTTGTTCTCGTTGTTCTTGTTGTTTATTATCGCTGTTGTCGTCAGTTTCGGTTTCATTATGGTCCGGTGATTTAGGTTGTGTGTTGGTAACCTCCGGAGAAAGGGGATTTTTGTCTGCATCTATTTCCGAATCTTGGTTTTCGGAACCTTGATTGTCTTGCGACGAGGTAACAGCAGGGGTAGCAGCATCACCAGTGGAAACTGAATCATTTATTTCATTGTCTGACGTTTTCTGTGACTGTGTCACTGGTTCTTCTTGTTCGTCAACCAATTCTTTAGAGTTTGACATTGTTTTCAGAAACTGTAACTTTTTTTGCTTCGGCACAGTTTCAATCAATCAATCAATTTTTTGTTATCGATTGATTCCTCACTATGATTATGTCATGTGATTCTACTTCATTCGTTACACAACGTTATTATTATGCAGAAAACTTTTACCATAATTACAATACTAAGAGTCAATTTAAATGAAAAATAAAATAAAAAATAAACAAAATCGGTATTTGAGATCTATTCTAATCATTGATTTGAAGCATCAGAAGTTGGAGACTGAGAATTAAAAGTACGAATGCCAGGTTTTCTGATGAAGCCTTCTCGCCAGGCTTTTTGTTCTTCCTAATTTCACAAAAAAAAAATCGATCAGTAGTATCCGAATCAATGATGAGAATTCAAAAATCCTAATAAATAAAAGATCGAATTCGAACAAAGAAAAAGAAACGACAAACCATTGTTTTTCCAGCCAACTTCCCCTCCCATCGTCCCGAATACTCAAATACTCCCAATACAATCCCCAGACCAGCACATCCACCAATCAATAACGGATAAGAATGTGCTGCACAATTATACTCAATTTAAACATCGAAACTATCAATAATCATATGCTTAAATAATTTAGTTGAGATTAATACCTCTCAATCCAGGGTACATTCCAGCAGCACATCCAGCAAGAGCCGAGTTTCTCCAATCATCCGTTTTTCGTATATTCGCACTCAATGATTCTGTTGCTGCGAAAATACTGCCGATTGCCGCTTTTTATTTAAATCGTATTTTTAATATTACATAATGTATTGTTGGTTGTTATATATCATATTGAATTGTATTATTGTATGCTTTTATTTGTACAAGAAAAAAGTGTTTATTTTTAACTGGTTTATCATAACGAATTACCACTACACTCTCCCCGTTAAAAATAATAATATTTACATGAAAGAAAGTTATTACGAGAAAAACATACCGAAAATACGAACACCATAAATCGTTAATAAATCAATAAAATCCATTATCCTCGCCATAATTTTATTGGTACTCACCGAAAGAAGTTATCGTTGACCCCGTTCTCGTAAAAACGCCAAGAGCTCCATGGTTATGCGTGTCTAGGGTATTTTGCACCGCCGAGAAAAATAGGCCTATCGTCGTAAAAATAAATCCAGTTTTTAAAGTTTCTAGTACAGCGTCTTTCTCTTCGTAGGTGGTTATGTCTTTTTGTCGTTGCGTCGCTGCCATTTGCATAGAGGAGTGATGGAGAGCTCGAAAGATCAAAAATATATACCGGGCAGATCACTTGCAGAATCTTGTACTACAACTTCATTTTATTAGGTGATATTCTATGCGTGTTTTTATTTAAATCTTTACCATGAAACCTTACCATTACAAGTTATACTTTTCGTTTCTTTTTATTTTTTATTTCTACACTGTGTATGATGAACACCACAAATCAAGTTCAAGTCAATAAGCTTACCGAACAACTAATACAACACATAACCAATACTCAAGTATACTCATTTCATAAAACCTTTTTCCAATATGTTTTACTTGGCACTTTTAGTGACTTCTACTCTTTATAGCCAGGGACAACTTATTTTGAAAAATGTAAAACCAATTCTTTAAGTACCCTCAAGTATCACACCTTTGGAAGTAACAATGAGAACGAGGTGTTTAGACGCTACAAAGGGTAATTAATGAGAAAAGAGCCAGCTTGAAGCAATAAATGTACTATTTTCTCGCGTCTCATTCGATCAATTATATTTTTTTACGCGTTTTCTCGATTTTCATTAGCTTGGTTGAGAAATTCTGTATCCATGCACAATATGAAAAGGCAAAATCACTTGACAAATGCATTAAATCATTTGTTGAAAATCCCACAGAGACCATTTCGAACTCGGTAAGCTTTTTTCATTGTTTGAATTTGTTCCTTTTTCATTTGTCCTTGCTTACTAATTTCATCGAGATTGACTCCAGGACATTACTACGAAGTTTGCAATCCTTGCAATGATCCTCGCGCTCTCTAATTTCCCGTTAAAATCCCGTTATGTTCCCACGCGTCCAAAACCATCGGAGAACCAAACAGTCGCGCAAATACTCAAAGAACAGCCTTTAACTGGCCTACATTGGATACCTGTCTCGTATTTGGATGATGATGAGGATGAAGGAGATTGGGATGTCGATCAAGATTGGATAAGGGAAAGATTAAGTGACAATAATGTACTCTCTTCAGAATCAGATCAAAATGAATCGGAGGTGAGTTCCATTTTTTCAGGGTCGTGACAAATATATGTTTACTATATAGAGCTCCCAAAAAAGGATATTACGTAATATATGTCACGACCCGTACTGAGTTTATCTTTATCCTCGTATTAACAATCGTATTTTGTGTAAATATTTAGAGAATAGACATAGGAATACATTATTTTAAAAACATGACTTATAGTTATGATTATGATCGCTTGAAAGATTTAGAATCTCTGCAATATTGGCGGTCAGACTATTGGAATAATATTTACTTTAATTTGAATATCGAATTTGATATTAATAACCCATGCACACTCGGTCTGTATTTATTCCTTCATTGAGGGAACAATCTTTGATTTTGACTCTACATTAAAACAATAGTAATAAATATACAGGACCTTCTGTCGACAATCATCTAAGCAAAGATCCTCGCAATCCGTTCAAAAATCACACCGTCAACGTCAGATTCATTAGCGAGCTTGAAGCTATACGCGAAGTGTTATTCGTGTTATCTGGCAGACCAGGATTATTATTCAGCAAGAAAAAGAATAAAAATGGGTTCCAGGTTCATTATGATTTAACGTAAAAATTTATTTTTCTCATATATCACATACTGCGATGAGTTAGTTACTAATGTATATCAATAACGTCGCTTCTGTCCTATAAAAGGTTGATATAAAGGCGAAGTTGACACATCTCTCGGAAGGCGCTTTTAAAAATATATTGCAATATTTTTGCGACCAAGCTAATGCAATCGCGAAAGTGAGAGGAATTTCATATAGGTGAATTGATTATTTATCTTTTGATCATGAGACAATAAGGACCGATTATTTATTGTTCACTCATTTCTCTATTCATAGGATATGCAAGTCCGACTGCTCAAAATATGGAATGACTGCTCAAGCTTTTGCTGACTCTATTCTTCAGATGATATCGAAATTCGAAAAAGTAATTGGTGAAATGGAATATGAATATAGCATAAGAAGAGTTCGAGGCGAACACACCATTGCTTCCCTATTACAACTAAAAAATCGTCTTTCAACTTATTTTTTCGAATTTGAAATTCTTCATTATTTTGTTGTTAATACCCCACTTAAAGGTACTTTCGATATCTGAAATTCAAAGAAAAGCTAAAAATATTAATATATTTTGTCATTATAGAAATTCCCGAATTGGAGTATACAAGTACATCTAAAGACAACCATGTTCCCTCGTATCATCCTTGGGAATTTACATATGCAATCCTGTCTGGACTGTATGCTGAAATCACGCGCCACCAAATTGCCGGTGATACACGTATATTCGTGATGCTGGGAAGACATTTTGATAACGCGTTCGAGCCTTACATGCGAATTATAGACAAATGGATCAAGTATGGCAGCTTGGATGATCCTGCCGATGAGTTCTTTATTGTAAAGTATGCATTATTATTCTAAGGTATCTTAAATTTAATTCCTAAGCTTATTTATGTAAAATACTCGTTTTATTTTATTTTCGTTTTAGAATTTCCAAAGTGGTGGAAAAATCTGGAAATCACTGGCAAGAAATGTTTATAGTTCGTGAGGCAATTCCATCCTACAAGAACATCCCTTCTATCCTGTGCTCCCTTGATTTTCTGGGACAATTTGTCAATAGAATTATGTTTGCAGGCAAAGGCCGTAATCTGCTCATGTCATTAAACTTTTCAAAAGTAAATATATTTATTTAGCATTTTTTTTATTCTCGATTATTCTATTGCTAACAGTCTTGAACTATTAAGGATAGAAAAAACAAAAAACTTTATGCTTCGTCTAATATGGAAATAGGGATCGAAAAACTCCGCTCATTCAACGAAAGTTTAGGACAAACTAATAATAATACAATATCGAATGGAGCATTAAGTCATCCAACATCATACAATACACTTGAACAAGTATTTGTTCCGTTTATTGATGAGAAACCAGAATATCCTGAAAAGAATTCCTCATTAAATAGCAACAGTGAACTAACTACCGACTTTTTTACCTTTCAACCATTTCACCAAAGATTTGCCGAGAATCTGGAAGATTATCTTCAGCCTCAATATGAACATATTAATGATCTTTTATATAAAGCTTTGGTTGATCAGTGTCATCTTTGGGCGCATCTTCGTACATTATCTGGTATCTACTTTATGCAAGAGGGAGAATCTATACATCGTCTCTGCGATGTTCTCTTTAATAGGGTTTGTGTTCTGTTGCTAGATTTATGGATTATTAAAGAAGTCGTAAAATCCTAACGCATAATTCATATTAGATGGATCGTGGTCAATTATGGTATGATAGCTACGTTCTCAACGAAATCTTTATAGATACTCTTCACAATTTGGACTGGCTGCCAAACGGTGTCATAAGTGCACGGATTGATGACAACGTTCTTAAAAGACCTGATATCACCAATATGCGAATATTCGAAAAGATAATGATAGAGTGTAGGGTAAGTCGTAAATGTTCGCGCTTTTTCCCGTTTCGGAGATGATCAATCTTATACTTTATCATTTGATGCAAAGTTGCCATGGCCAATTAACAACATAATCCAAGTTGATAGTTTACAATACTACAAACAAATCACGATATTTCTACTGCAAATAAGACGGGCAAAGTATCTCGTCGAACGAATGGCTTTCTCACGATTACAAAATGAACAGCTGGATCCTAAATCTCGAGAAATGAAACTTTTTTATGGGATCAGGTTGAATTTGATTTGGTTTCTGAATACTATTTGGGACTATCTTATGGGGACGGTGAGTATATACTTTTTTTTAATAATTTACACTGTATGATTTACACTATACGAAAAACTGATTTGATAATGTTTACATATCTAACAGATATTATATTCAGAAACAGCAAAGTTTCATTTGGAGATAAAAAAAGTATTTGATTTCGATAAAATGATCGCGTCGCATAAACATTTTATTCAGAAAGTTTATGATCGATGCCTATTGAATAATAAGGCAAGAAGAAAACCCAAACCCTAAAACCTGTCTACGTTTCTTTCTCTTCTTTCTCTGTCTTATTTTCTAGTTATTTTTTCTCTCCTTATCTATAGACAAAACCAGCCAAAAAAGCCATTTTCGATATCCTTAATTTAACGATTCAATTTACAACATTGTACGCAAGATACCTCGGCGAGAATGTCTCGTTTTACGATCACCATTCCCTTGCTAAAAATTCGGATTCAGGATCAGATTACACGGACGAGGATCATGATGACTTGGAAGACGACGACGACGACGACGAGGTTGAATCCGATGTTGATAATTATGTACCGATGATTGTTGATAGGCAAGCATTTTTGGATGGGCTTCAGCGAATTGACAAAGAGTTTACAAGACATAAAGATTTTGTGATTAGTTCTGTGAAAACTATTGGACGTGTTAGTGGAGTATCGTTTCCATTCTGATGATTCATGACGTTATTTTTACTGTTATCCTTTTATTTTTACCTGTGAAAATAAATGTGTACTTTTACATCAAGTCAGCAATAAATTCTAAATCAGATCAACGTGTTGATGGGTATAATAAGACAAATTTAATCATTGTTCAAAATATTATTTATTGTTATAACGTGAGTTGTTAACTAACAAATACTAATTGTGTATAATAGAGATTGATGTCAAGCTTCAACTAGCATTATTGACCAAGTATATTTTATAATCAAATATAATAAATCAAGTAATAGTGTTGGATGATGTTATCAAGGCAGTTTTAGTGCATGTAAAATAATAGTACTCTTTTATTTCTGGTTAAAAAAGGCAGAAAATATTACTGGCTTTGTCAAAAACATTTTTATTTATTTATTAGTTGGATTAATTATTTTCTATAATTACAAGTAAGGATGGTTGCTGAAATAACATCATCTAATTAAATAATTTGCCAAAATTAACTTGCCAAAATTAAATCTGAAATTATTTTGACTTATTTTATTAGTAGCCAAAATTGTTTTCCAAAATTATTTGGATTTTACAAACCAAAACAAGTATTTCTAGATGATTTTTAAGTATTCATTAATATAAGTAACATAGCAAAACTGAATTATTTGCTGAAATATCATTTTTCCAAAAATAATTTAGGAAATCATCTTTATACTGAAATATAAACATAATAATATTCAAATTTTATGAGTTTAATTATAATTCTTGAATTATTATAAAAAGACATTATTTCTTTCTTACTTTTTTTTAATAATAATATAAAATTAAAAAATATACTTTATCTAGAAGTTTAAATTAAGTTCTAAGCATTTCTAAACTGGATTATATATTTTTCATTTAAAAAAATTAAATAATAATAAATAATAATAATATAATAATAAAAATATTATTCCTCTTATAACTTTATATATTTTTTTACTAGTAATACTAAATATTAATAATATTAATTTTGATTAAGATCTTGAATAGATTTTGTTTTATATTGTTATTATATTATAAATAGAGTTAATTTTTATAAACATATAATAAAATGGAGCTAAATAAATATATATTTAAAACTATATATTATCTAATTAAAATAGTAGATCTGTATAGTTAAAATATTTATTAGTATTATTATTCAAAAATTACCCTTTTTATTTATTTATTTTTTATTATTTTTGGTTGAACTTTGCAATTATTGACAAAGATACTTTGCTATATATTTGATTGGAATAGCTTAGAAATATATATATATTATTTATTCATTTTTTAATTTTATTAAAGCAATTTAGATTTTATTTTTATTTTATTTATTATATAATTTTTGCTTATATAATTATTTAATTATTATTTAATTAATTATTTATTTATTTATAAATTAATTAATTATTATTTTATTTTTATTTTTTATTTTAATTAATTATATAATTTTATAAAAGCTTAATTTTTTTAAAGAAATAAAAATATTATAATTTAAATATTTTATAATATAGTTATTATAATATTTAATATTTTTATTAAGTTAAATTTAATTATATTAATTAATTATTAATTAATTATTTATATTTTTATTAAATGAATTTGAAATTATATAACTTTTATATATAATATTGTTGTGATATGAATTTTAGCATATCACATGACTTTTCATAGTTAATTTTCATTGGATAATTGATTTATAAA